CGTACAATGTACCAGCTTGGTATCAAATAAAAAGAAGCTCTGATTTGCAGTTGTTGAGAAAAGTGCTACAGAATGACAGAGGTAAACACGTATTCCCCCTTCCTTTGGATCGGGGATATAATAAAAAATGATATAACAGTATTAAAAAATGCTATCAGTTACCGAAAATAAGCTCAAAAGAGTTAAGATATTGATTTGAAGTCCTCCTGTCTTAAACAATTGAAATGCATTCAATACAGCACATTAATCTTACCTAATGCTACTCATGTACATCCTTATAATAAATGACCGATATACCTCCAAAATGAATCCTATGGATCCTTGTGGTATCGTCGTATGAGGCTAGTAAACCTCTACCGACGTAGTCGAAGGGGACTTTAGGTTTGCACTCCGTCTGTCTGTCTGTCTGTCTATCTGTCAGTCCGGCAAATCAGTTTTCCAGACATTTTTTCTTCGTGCTTGAAGATATTGATTTGATATTTGGTTTATTGATTTATCATGACAAGTTACAGGTCAAGTTCAATTTTCACGATTTTAGCTTTTCTCTTTGTTCAGTTAAAGCCCTTTCCCTAGAATTAAATTTTTGATGAAATACTTATTAATTAGTAGATTTCTGTTCAAAGGGAAATAAATCATTTTTTAAAAGACTTTTAAAAGACAAAATGACATTTTGGATTTTTTTCCTTTTCTTTGGTTAAGTGTTTGAAGAATTTAGTGGTAGGTTTGTTTGTCATTCTTGAAGATATTGATTTGTTTGAGTTATTGTCTTTGGACATAGAAAATTTCCTTAAATAATCAGTTTTCAACAGTTTTTATCATCATGCTTGAAGATTTTGACTTGATATTTTTATGTAGTTTACACCATGACAAGTTATAGATCAAGTAAGAATTTCGTTCCATTACAATGAATTTGTAACCTGTAGGGGACTATGTATTGCCATGCAATACTCACAGAATGCTTGTTTTATATACTATCGTTTAAATATTTACAGAAGCTATACAGAAAAGGAAGACCAGATTGTATAGACATTAAGTTATACTGTATAGACGATTGTCTGGACATACAGCTTGACATACTGTATATACAACTGTCTGGATATAGAGCTTGACATGTCGTATAGACAATTGTCTGATTATAGAGCTTGACATGTTGTATAGTCAATTGTGTGGATATAGAGCTTGACATTTTGTATAGACAATTGTCTAGACATACAGCTTGACATGTTGTATAGACAATTATCTGGATATAGAGCTTGCCATGCTATAATGACAATTGTCTGGATATAGAGCTTGACATGCTGTATAGACAATTGTCTGGACATACAGCTTGACATGCTGTAAAGACAATTGTCTGGATGTAGAGCTTGACATGTTGTATAGACAATTGTCTGGATATAGAACTTGACATACTGTATAGACAATTGTCTGATATAGAGCTTGACATGTTGTATAGACAATTGCCTGGATATAGAGCTTGTCATACTGTATAGACAATTGTCTGGATATAGAGCTTGACATGCTATAATGACAATTGTCTGGATATAGAGCTTGACATGCTGTATAGACAATTGTCTGGACATACAGCTTGACATGCTGTAAAGACAATTACCTGGATGTAGAGCTTGACATGTTGTATAGACAATTGTCTGGATATAGAGCTTGACATGCTGTATAGACAATTGCCTGGATATAGAGCTTGTCATACTGTATAGACAATTGTCTGGATATAGAGCTTGACATGTTGTATAGACAATTGTCTGGATATAGAGCTTGACATACTGTACAGATAATTGTCTGGATATAGAGCTTGACATTTTGTATAGACAATTGCCTGGATATAGAGCTTGTCATACTGTATAGACAATTGTCTGGATATAGAGCTTGACATGCTATAATGACAATTGTCTGGATATAGAGCTTGACATGCTGTATGGACAATTGTCTGGATATACAGTTTAACATGCTGTATAGACAATTGTCTGGATATACAGCTTAACACACTGTATAGACAATTGTCTGGATATAGAGCTTGACATGCTGTATAGACAATTGTATGGATAAACAGCTTAACATGCTGTATAGAAAATTGTCTGGATATAGAGCTTGACATGCTGTAAAGACAATTGTATGGATATAGAGCTTGACATGCTGTATAGACAATTGTTTGGATAAAGATCTTGACATGCTGTATAGATAATTGTCAAGATATACAGCTTGACATGCTGTACTGACAATTGTCTGGATATAGAACTTGACATGCTGTATAGACAATTGTCTGGATATAAAGCTTAACATGATGTATTATTAGTTACATAGTGTGCTAGTGACCTAATACGATATATGGGGTCAGTTAATTCCATATGGGGTGAGAGCGAAGCTCGAATACCATATGAAAATTACTGACCCCATATATATATATATAGTATTAGGTCACTAGCACACTGTGTAACGAATTCATCTTACCGACTATCTTAACAAGTGGCCTATCAAAGTGATCAATCTTCAATATTAAGAACCTACTTACATTGGTCTATACACAAAGAAAATGCCAACAATAACAAGCTTTAAATGTGTTTTTTGCATTTATTTCAAACGATCATCAGCAATTTCTTTGTTGAAACCTTTCAGATTTTTCCTCAACACTGTGTTGTTTTGACAAATGAACCCAACACCACAACTAACCATGTATTGAAATAAACCACGCTTACTAATCCCATATGAAATATACACGGTCTCCAAGCGGTTGCTTTTTTAACCAATCATATTCCCAGAAATGTATAGGAAGTAAGATAAACACAATTGTCTGGATATAGAGCTTGACATGCTGTAAAGACAACTGTCTGAATATATAGCTTGTAATGTTGTATAGACAATTGTCTGGATATAGAACCTGACATACTGCATTGACAATTGTGTGGATATAGAGCTTGACATGCTGTATAGACAATTGTCTAGACATACAGCTTGACACACTGTATTGACAATTGTCTGGATATAGAGCTTGACATACTGTAAAGACAATTGTCTGGATATAGAGCTTGACATGCTGTATAGACAATTGTCTGGATATAGAGCTTGACATACTGTATAGACAATTGTCTGGATATAGAGCTTGACATGCTGTATAAACGATTGTCTGGATATAGAGCTTGACATGCTGTATAAACAATTGTCTGGATATACAGCTTGACATACTGTGCTGAAAATATACTGGATATATATCTTGTCATGCTATATAGACAATTATCTGGGCATAGAGCTTGAAATGTTGTATAGACAATTGTCTGGATATAGATTTTTACATACTTTATTTCGCAATTGTCTGGATATAGAACTTGACATGCTTTATAGACAGTTGTCTGGATATAGAGCTTGACAAGCTGTATAGACAATTGTCTGGATATAGAACCTGACATACTGCATTGACAATTGTGTGGAAATAAAGCTTGACATGCTGTATTGACAATTGTCTGGATATAGAGCTTGACATGCTGTACTGACCATTGTCTGGATATAGAGCTTGACATGCTGTATAGTCAATTGCCTGGATATAGAGCTTGTCATACTGTAAAGACAATTGTCTGGATATAGAGCTTGACATACTGTAAAGACAATTGTATGGATATACAGCTTGACATGCTGTACTAACAATTGTCTGGATATAGAGCTTTCATCTTGTATAGAAAATTGTCTGGATATAGAGCTTGACATCTTGTATAGACAATTGTCTGGATATAGAGCTTGACATGCTGTATAGACAATTGTCTGAATATAGAGCTTGACATCTTGTATAGACAATTGTCTGAATATAGCGCTTGTCATACTGTATAGATAATTGTCTGGATATAGAGCTTGACATGTTGTATAGACAATTGTCTGGATATAGAGCTTGACATGTTGTATAGACAATAGTCTGGATATAGAGCTTGACCTACTGTATAGACAATTGTCTGGATATAGAGCTTGACATGCTGTATTGACCATTGTCTGGATATAGAGCTTGACATACTAATTAGATTATTGTCTGAATATAGAGCTTGACATCTTGTATAGACAATTGGCTGAATATAGAGCTTGGCATGTTTTATAAACAATTGGCTGGATATAGACATCATTTATGGGCAATAACTCTAATAAGGAGTCAACAGATACATTCAGGCATCTTAGTGTAGATTTAATGTAGATGTTTTTTTTTCTGATAATTTTCTATATCGTTTAGTTTATCTCTTTCTACTTACTATAGTTTCCTCCAAGAACACAAAATATGGTTGAAATTTGTCATTCAAGGCCAACAACTTTTATAAGGAGTCAACTGAAGAGTTATTTGCAGATTTTTTCCTATTGATAATTTTTGTGCCTTTTAGTTTCTCTCAATTATAGTTTTCAAGATAACAAAAAACCTGAAAAAGAGGTAAAAAAATCATCATTTAAATGTAATATCTCCAATAAGGCGTCATCTGACAATTTTGAACACATTGGACAGTAGGTAGATTTTGACATTCTAAACATAATTGCCATGAGAATCACATTTGACACATTTTTTTAACTAGACACCCAAATGTTGATTGTATCCAAGTTGTTTCAGAGGAGAAGACTTTTGTAAAAGTTAATTTACAAACATGACGATAGATGAGCATAGCTCATTTGAACCTGTGAGATTTGTTAGCTGAACATCGGACTCCTCAGATCTGTACCAAGCACAAGACAATCTAATCATTTACATCCACTTTATTTCAACTTTGGTAGATAGTGGTCTCATTGGCAATCATACCACATTTCCTTATATTTATACGATTACTAACAGTTACTGAAAGCAACTTTAAAGCATAATTTAAAAAAAAAAAACATATTTTCCCCGACAAAAACATCAATCAGATAAAGATGGATTAATTAGAATTGATATAAATAGAGAAATTGCACAATACTTTGTGAAGGCTTAATACAACCTTTGAAAGAAGAGATTTGAACAGAAAACAGACACTTTATCATAATTGCCAACATAACATTAAACAATTTATTCATGAACATCTAATACAGATATATAAACAATTTTGCTTATTTTACAGTGCATGTTTACAATGTACTTACTTACATAAGAAATAATCAATTTCAATGATATATAGTCATATTCTGGTGTTTTGTCATATGTAATTCATTATTCAGCTGTTATTGGTCTATGTAATTCATTATTCAGCTGTTTTTGACCTATGTAATTCATATTATTTAGCTATTTTTGACCTATGTAATTCATTATTCAGCTGTTTTTGACCTATGTTATTCATATTATTTAGCTGTTTTTGACCTATGTAATTCATTATTCAGCTGTTTTTGAACTATGCAATTCATTATTCAGCTGTTTTTGACCTATGCAATTCATTATTCAGCTGTTATTGGTCTATGTTATTCATTATTCAGCTGTTTTTGGCCTATGCAATTCATTATTCAGCTGTTATTGGTCTATGTTATTCATTATTCAGCTGTTTTTGGCCTATGCAATTCATTATTCAGCGGTTATTGGTCTATGTAATTCATTATTCAGCTGTTTTTGGCCTATGCAATTCATTACTCAGCTGTTATTAGTCTATGTAATTCATTATTCAGCTGTTTTTGACCTATGTAATTCATTATTCAGCTGTTTTGACATATGTAATTCATTATTTAGATGTTTTTGACCTATGTAATTCATTATTTAGCTGTTTTTGGCCTATGCAAATCATTATTCAGCTGTTATTGGTCTATGTAATTCATTATTCAGCTGTTTTTGACTTATGTAATTCATTATTCAGCTGTTTTTGGCCTATTTAATTCATTATTCAGCTGTTTTAGGCCTATGTAATTCATTATTCAGCTGTATTTGGCCTATGCAATTCATTATTCAGCTGTTATTGGTCTATGTAATTCATTATTCTGGTGTTTTGGCCTATTCAATTCATTATTCAGCTGTTTTGGCCTAAGTAATTGATTATTCTATGTATTGCATTATTCTGGTGTTTTGGCATTTGTAATTCATAATTTTGGTTTTTTGTCCTATGTAATTAATTGTTCTGGTGCTTTGGACTATGCATTTCATTATTCTGGTGGTTTGGCCAATGCAATTCATTATTTAGGTGTTTTGGTCTATGCAGTTGATTACTCAGGTGTTTTGTCCTATGCAATTAATTATTATGGTGTTTTGGCCTATGCAATTCATTATTCTGGTGTTTTGGCCTATGCAATTCATTATTCTGGTGTTTTGACCTATGCAATTCATTATTCTATGTATTTCATACTGGTGTTTTGGCCTAGGCAATTCATTACTCTGGTGTTTTAGCCTATGAAATTCATTATTCTGGTGTTTTGGCCTATGCATTCATTATTCCGGTGTTTTAGCCTTTGAAATTCATTATTTGGGTGTTGTAGCTTATGTAATTCATTATTCAATGTATTTATTATTCTGGTGTTTTGGCCTATGCAATTCATTATACAGGAGTATTGGCTGATGCAATTCACTATTCCGGTGTTTTGGCCTATGCAATTCATTATATTGGTGTTTCCCATAAACTGACCTAATCACAAACTAATACATTGTTGATACCACTGACACAAGAAACAGCATGCTTATGTCTTGTTTTTTGACTCAATGCGAGACAAAAATGAGCATGTAATTCAGGAATATGCAAATATCCATCATGCAGAGTTTAGTATCACTGGCTATCTTCAAAAGCATCATTTTAACAATATTGAGCACATAATAACTTAAACGTTTGGTTTCATAAAAAGATAGTACTTTAGGATACATAAGTTTCTTTTTTTTTTTTCGCCAGTATATGATATGATTGCTGTGTTTACAACAAATGTATCTGGAATTACCTTCAGCATACACAAGTTCATATGGTGTAGTCGTATTCATTGTTTTAAAGTATTTTCAATTAAAAACATCAATCCTCTTCAAGATTAACATTACACTGTATATTGGCATCTGTTAATACTGGATTGGTCCAAACAGAGTCATGTGATCGAGATGATAAAGATTTTTCACTAGCTTCTGACCCTAAATTGTCATGGTTAAAAGTCACATTAAAACTTGATATAAATTGCGATTCAATGTTTTCATCTGTACTTTCATGAAGAGGCAGAAGCGGTTCCTTCGATTCTGAATCCCGTACACATTGATGACATTGTTCTTCCTCATCAGAATCCTCGGAGGGTTCTACACTTTCTGTCGATAACACTTCCTCATCAGAATCCTCGGAGGGTTCTACACTTTCTGTCGATAACACAGGTAGCTTGGGAATCTGATAAAATGTGGGAATTTGAGCATTTATAACTTCAGGCATCTGCAATGTAAAATAAACAATAGGTAGATAGTACAAGGAAACAAACAGCTGTTTGATCATTTTTGCATTTCAAAGTTTTTATCTATCCATTATAAACAAAAACAATGGACAATAAAATGATCCGCTGGGCGCAGCTTGATACGACCGCAGAGGTCGAACCCTGAACAGTTGGGGCAAGTATGGACACAACATTCAAGTTTGATACAGCTCTGAATTTGGATTGTGATTAAATATTTGACACAGCATAGGTTTCTGACACAGAATGAATGTGGTCTAAGAACTTAAATTTTTTTAATTTACCTATTATGGTCCAATATCTAAAATCTAAATACATGGTTAGATTCAGCATATCAAAGAATCCAAAGAATTCAATTTTTGATGAAATCAAACAAAATTTAATTTTGGACCCTTTTGACCTCAATATGGACCAATTTGATATCGGGGCCCAAAAATCAAAATACATGGTTAGATTCAGCATATCGAAGAACCCCATATATTCAATTTTTGTTGAAATCAAACAAAGTTTAATTTTGGACCCCAACTTGGACCAACTTGAAAACTGGGCCTATAATCAAAAATCTAAACACAAGTTTAGATTCAGCATATCAAAGAACCCCAAGAATTCAATTTTTGTTAAAATCAAACTAAGTTTAATTTTGGACCCTTTGGACCTTAATGTAGACCAATTTAAAAAACAGGACCCAAAATTAAAAATCTAAATACACTGTTAGATTTGGCATATCAAAGAACCCCAATAATTCAATTTTTGATGAAATAAAACAAAGTTTAATTTTGGACCCTTTTGACCTCAATATGAACCAGTTTGATAGTGGGGCCCACAAATAAAAAATCTAAATACATGGTTATATTCAGCATATCAAAGAACCCCCATATATTCAATTTTTGTAGAAATCAAACAAAGTTTAATTTTGGACCCCAATTTGGACCAAATTGAAAACTGGGCCCAAAATCAAAAATCTAAATACATGTTAAGATTCAGCATATCAAAGAACCCCATATATTCAATTTTTGTTAAAATCAAACTAAGTTTAATTTTGGACCCTTTGGACCTTAAAGTAGACCAATTTGAAAACTGGACCCAAAATTAAAAATCTAAATACACGGTTAGATTTGGCATATCAAAGAATCCAAAGAATTCAATTTTTGATGAAATAAAACAGTTTAATTTTGGACCCTTTTGACCTCAATATGAACCAATTTGATAGCGGGGCCCACAAATAAAAAATCTAAATACATGGTTAGATTCAGCATATCAAAGAACCCCATATATTCAATTTTTGTTGAAATCAAACAAAGTTTAATTTTGGACCCCAATTTGGACCAACTTGAAAACTGGGCCCAAAATCAAAAATCTAAATACATGTTTAGATTCAGCATATCAAAGAACCCCATATATTAAATTTTTGTTAAAATCAAAATAAGTTTAATTTTGGACCCTTTGGACCTTAATGTAGACCAATTTGAAAACTGGACCCAAAATCAAAAATCTAAATACACGGTCAGATTTTGCATAACAAATAAATAAATGTGGTCAAAGATTTTACAAATCTAATGCGCCATACTGTGCAATTAAAGATTACTTCTTGAAATTTTTCAATATTTGAAATTTGAAAAAAAAAAAATATTTGAAGAATAATTCTTTTTAATTTCTGAAATCTGAAATGAGAAAAAAATGACCCCCCACAATTTCTTTTTACCCCCCCCCCCCTTTTTCCCCCCAAAATTCATTCCCTCAAGATATGATCATAATCTCAATTCAAATTTCCAATGGAATTTGCAACCATAATTACCCATTTAAATTTACCATAGTGCTAACTTAATCTATTTTACAATAGAATTTAAAATATGGTGTCAAATCTTTCATATGGATTTTTTTGTAAAAAAAAAAAAGATGTAACATTTGCAGATATTTTTACTGGTCTTCCTTTATAAATATGCATTTCTTTAAACATAATTTAAAAGCAGTGTAAGGGAAGTAATCAAAACGTTGTATGTGGATTACCTCCCTTAAACTGTTTTAAATTGTCTTAATTGTTCATTAACCATAACTTTATACATAATTTAATAGCAGTGTAAGGGAGGTAATACAAATGATGTATTTGATTTATCTCCCTTACACTGCTTTAAATTATGTTTTGTACTAAAGTATTTGTCTATATAAAAATGCTTGTTTTTTTGCCCCTTTTTTGGCCCCTAATTCCTAAATTTTGGAGGCAATTACCCCTAAAATCAATCCCAGCATTCCCTTTGTGCTATGGAACCTTGTGGTACAATGTCAGAGAGATCCATACACTAACACACAAGTTATGTCTGGAAGTTACAAAAATGCTTATTTTTGGCCCTTTTTGGCCCCTAATTCCTTAACTGATGGTACCATAACCCCCAAAATCAATCCCAACCTTCCTTTTGTGGTATTGAACCTTATGGTAAAATTTCACAGAGATCCATTCACTTAAACTAAAGTTAGAGTGCGAAAACCAATGTGTCTTCGGACGACAACGACGACGACGCCAACGTCATACCAATATACGATCGCAAAATTTTTTTGCGGTCGTATAAAAATTGTCTTTAAGGAGGATAACCGAGATAAGGAGTCAACTGATGATTTTTGCAATTTGACTTATTTGTTGATCTTGTCTTACTGATCATTTTTGCTCTTAAAAGTTTCTATCTGTTTTAGTTTTCAAGATAAGATTCATGACAAAAACAAAATAAAAGAAGAACATGTCCTCATGAATGCCCCACTCAAGCTTTTCAATTTTTCAAGTTAAACTAGAGGCTCTCAAGAGCCTGTGTCGCTCACCTGTATTTACTGATGCTTTGGAAATCATGTAAAATAAGGTTAAAATCATAATTAATAGTATTAGATATTAGATATTATAATGATATCTAAGATAATAACAAAAAACTGCAAAATTTTTGTAAAATTACTAACTCAGGGGCAGCAACCCAACAACAGGTTGTGGGAATTGTCTGAAAATTTCAGGGCAGATAAATCTAAATCTGAGGAACATTTTTGCCACCTGTCAGATTTGCTTTAAATGCTTTAGTTTCAGAGATATAAACCAAAAACTGCATTTTACCCCTATGGTCTATTTTTAACCAAGTCGGCCATGATGGTTGGAAGGCAGGGTCATCGGACAAATTTTTTATTAAACTAGATACCCTAATAATGATTATGACCAAGTATGGTTAAATTTGTCTCAGTAGTTTCAGAGAAGAAGATTTTTGTAAAAGATTACAAAAATTTGTTAAAAATTGACTATTAAGGGCAATAACTCCTAAACGGGTCGACTGACAATTTTGGTCATACAACTTATTTGTAGATCTTACTTTGCTGAACATTAATGCTGTTTACAGTTTATCTCTATCTATAATAATATTCAAGATAATAACCAAAAACTGCAAAATTTCCTTAAAATTACCAATGCAGGGGCAGCAACCCAACAACAGGTTGTCAGATTTGTCTGAAAATTTCAGGGCAGATAGATCTTGACCTGATAATCAGTTTAACCCTATGTCAGATTTACTCTAAATGCTTTGGTTTCAGAGATATAAGCCAAAATCTACATTTTACCCCTATGTTCTATTTTTAGCCATGGCGGCCATCTTGGTTGGTTGGCAGGGTCATCGGACACATTTTTTAAACTAGATACCCTAATGATGATTGTGGCCAAGTTTGGTTAAATTTGGCCCAGTGGTTTCAGAGGTGAAGATTTTTGTAAAAAGCTAACGATGACGGACGACGAAGAAGACGGACGACGCCGACAACGACGACGGACACCAAGTGATGAGAAAAGCTCACTTGGCCCTTTGGGCCAGGTGAGCTAAAAAGGGGCATAACTCTTGAATGGTAAATGACTCACTTCCCAAATTCAAACTCTATCTGCAAGTTGTACTTCTTAGCATTGTGTATGAGTTTCATAAAATTTGGATGACGAAAATTTAAGTTAGAGTGCTGAAAAGAAAATGGGATGGAGTGAAGGACCGATAAGGGTAACACTTAATGGTCCCTTCGCCGCAGAGGGAGCATAAAAATAGTAAAAAAAATCGTCTTTAAGGGCAATAACTCCAGTCCTAAAAGGAGTGAAAGTACGATTCCTGCAATTGCCGTATTTGTAGATCTGGTCTCACTGATCATTTTTGGTTTTTAAATTTCTACCTATCATAGTTTACAAGATAGTAGGAAAAAACTGTAAAAAAATGGAAATAAATGAGGAATGTGTCCATGGGACACAGAGGATGCCCCGCTTGCATATAACAATTATAAAGGGACATATCTCAAGAACTGTAAAAGTGAAGCTACCCAAATTTGTACTTGATCTGAGTTTTGTGGTAATAAGCATTGTGTATACGTTTCATAACATTTAGTTGAGGCAAACTAAAGTTAGAGAACAGAAACGAATATTTCAGCAATTTTTCCATTTGTAAAGAGGCATAACTCTAAAACGGTAAAAGTGACGCCACCAAAATTCAAACTTGATGTGTATTTTGTGGTAATAAGCATTTTGTATACGTTTCATAAAATTTAGTCAAGGCAAACTAAAGTTAGAGAACAGAAACGAATATTTCAGCAATTTTTCCATTTGTAAAGAGGCACAACTCTCAACCAGTAAAAGTGACGCCACCAAAATACAAACTTGATCTGTGTTTTGTGGTAATAAGCATTGTGTATGTTTCATAACATTTGGTTGAGGCAAACTAAAGTAGGAGAACGGAAACCAATTTTGGGACATCGTAAGTACAGACAACAAGGGTAAAATTTAATGCCCCCTCTGCTATGGCGAGGGCATAAAAACCTCAAAACATTGTAAAAATAGTCTTTTAAGGGCAATAACTCCAATAAAGAGTTAACTGACAATTTCAGCCATGTTGACTAATTGTCATCTTTTCTTGCTACTCATTTTTATGCCCCACCTATGATAGTAGTAGGGGCATTATGTTTTCTGGTGTGTGCGTCCGTCCGCCTGACTGGCTTCAGGTTAAAGTTTTTTGTCAAGGTTGTTTTTGATAAAGTTGAAGTCCAATCAACATGACACTTAGTACACATGTTCCCTATGATATGATCTTTCTAATTTTAATGCCAAATTAGAGTTTTGACCCCAATTTCACTGTCCACTGAACATAGAAAATGATACTGGGAGTGGGGCATCCGTGTACTATGGACACATTCTTGTTTCTATTAAAATAAGATAATACGCAAAAACTAAAAAAAAAATTGTCATTTATGGGCAATAACTCCAATAAAATGTTGACCAACAATTTGGCAATATCCACTTATTTGTAGATCTTGTCTTGTAGATCAATTTTGCTATTTAAATTTTCTCTCTATATATTATAACTAAATAGTTAAATAGCACAAAAGCATTGTAAAAATCGCATTGTAAAGATCTTGTCTTGTAGATCAATTTTGCTATTTAAATTTTCTCTCTATATATTATAACTAAATAGTTAAATTGCACAAAAGCATTGTAAAAATCGTCATTCAAGGGCAAAAACTCCTATCAGGAGTTGACCAACAATTTGTGCCATGATGACTTTTTTGTATATCTTGTTTTGCTGATAATTTTCCTACTTAAATGTTGTTTTTTTATTTTTTATCTATTTCAGTTTTCCAGATAATATGCACATCCAAAATGTCAGAAATTGTGATTTAACGGCAATAACTCCAATAAGGAGTCAACTGATGATTTAGGTCATGTTGACTTATTTGTAGATCTGGTCTTGCTCATCCTTTTCGCTATTTCAAGTTTCTATGTATCTATCATAATTTTCAAGTATAGGCAAAATTATTAGAAGTAGTCTGACAGTTTTAATGAGCCTCCTCATGGGGTTTTTATCGACCTTTTGCGGTCGTATATTGGTATGACGTTGGCGTCGTCCGAAGACACATTGGTTTTCGCACAATAACTTTAGTTTAAGTGAATGGATCACTATGAAATTTTACCATAAGGTTAAATACCACAAAAGGAAGGTTGGGATTGATTTTGGGGGTTATGGTACCAACAGTTAAGGAATTAGGGGCCTAAAAAGGGCCCAAATAAGCATTTTTCTAGTTTCCAGACAATAACTTGTGGAACGATGTATGAATCTCTCTGAAATTATACCACAAGTTTCCATACCACAAAGGGATGGTTAGGATTGACTTTGGGGGGTTATGGCTCAAAATGTTTAGGAATTAGGGGCTAAAAAGGGGAAAAACAAGGGTTTCCTGGTTAATGGACAATTTAAAAGCAGTGTAAGGGAGGTAATCCAAATACATTTAAAGTATTAAAAAAAAAATTGGATTACCTCCCTTACATTGCTTTTTAATTATGCATAAATATGTTTTATTGTCTTGAGGTGATTAGCTGTCAATTAGTTTTAGGAGTTACTATTTAAGGAATATTAATTTAAGCCATGATTATGTATGTCATTTTCTATTTTAAGACTTTTATGATGTATTTAAATTGGTAATTATGGTTGCAAACTCCATTGGAAATTTGAATTGAGATTATGACCATATCTTGAGGGGGGGGTGAAAAAAAATGGGGGGGGGGGGGGGTAAAAAAGAAATTGTGGGGGGAGGGGCAATTTTTTCTCATTTCAGATTTCAGAAATTAAAAAGAAAATTTCTTCAAATATTTTTTTTTTTGCAAAATAAAGGGGGGTGGGGGTCAATACGCAACAGCATGGTGTATTGCACAAAAGCAAAAAATTGAATATAAATTCAAATCATATAACCCATTCTAAGTTCTTTCCATATCAAATATTTAATTACAATCCAAATTCAGACCTGTATCAAGCGTGAATATTGTGTCCATTTTTGCCCCAACTGTTCAGGGTTGGACCTCTGTGGTCGTATCCAGCTGCGCTCAACGAAGCATTTTATTGATTATGTAATTACTTGGCCGTTTTTATAGTGATTATTTGATTACCAGACCAAATACTTCATGGTTATGTGATTATTCGATAATCTAGGACTGTATTTGTGATTATTTGACTATCTTGTTTAAAAAAATAATTAATGATTATGTAATTGTATTGGCAAAAAATTTGTGATTATGTGATTACTTGGACACCCCCATGAGGGGCCTCAAAATTGGACAGTTGTTAGATCTCAACATTCTGGACATTTTTTTTCAAGTCAGAGGAGATGTTTGTAAGATTTAATGGACGATGACAGACCCCAAGTGATTAGATAGGTCAATTGACTCTTCAGGTCAGGTGAGCTTGAAATGAAAGGTTGGTAATTGGTATATTTATAATACTTTTAGTATTTCAAAATACATGTAATGGTGCCAAAAACTGGTCTTATCATACATTTTCTGTTTTAATTAAGATCATTTTAACAAACTTGTCAAATGAAGTACACATAATATATCATAGCAGTGGCAGATCCAGAGGGGGGGGGGGGATCCCCCCTTTTTTTTGACGATCAATGCATGTGAATGGGGACATATAGTTGGAACCACCCCTTTATCCTGGGTTAGGAACCCCCCCCCCCTTTTCCCCTTTTTAAATGGCTGGATCCACCCCTGCCAAGTATTCTAATTGTTTAGCAATATTAATTTCAGATGCCGTTTCACATAGGTACACCCAACATCTTTTATTTGTTACTTATAAACCAAGTAGCTTTGTAGTTAAAGTAGTAACATCAAATAGTTTCAATATACCTGTTTGGCCCTTTGTAACCTTTCTATTAATTCAGAAAATGTTGGTCTGGTTTCTGGAATGGCTGCCCAGCAAATTGACATTAACTGGTACCTATAATAAAAATTTACTAATTCTATAAACTGTTACACACTTGTTCAAATACATACAAAACAAGGGTTAGATGTGAGTCACATCAAAATTATCAAAATTAAACTAAATACATAAGTTTATATTAATAATGACCAAGGTCAAAATGGACATTTTTGTGGGTGCTGCATGCTATAAAATTCAATAAAATCATTTAAATATGTCCCAGAAAAAAGTAAGTCTATATGTTTTTGTACACATTTTAATTGTGAAGTGGTTAGTTTTTGCAACATCAATCCTATTAAAATAAAATTATTCTTTCATGTCATGCTCTATGTTCTTCTATCATTGGTAGGTATTATATTTGTCAGCATATGTTTCTTACTTGATGATTATCTACTTTGTCATATTGCCTATCCTTAACTTTTCCTATGTGTAAGGAGAAACCACATAAAATTTTAACTTTAATTTTAACTACAAAAAGAAGAATCACAACTATCAAACAATTATTATATTCTTTAACAGGATAGCAGACAGCACATCCCACCCTTAATTCAAAGAAATTAGAAAGTAGATGTCTGACAGATCCTAAAAGATCTTAAATGTTATAACTTGTCAAGGCTAAGATGCTGACCTAATATGAAGTCATTGTGTTCATTCAACATATTGAAAAAAGTATTGGTAAACAAACTACAGGCTCTAAAGAGCCTGTGTCACTCACCTAGGTCTATGAGCATCTTGTGGACTAGAATAGAATTCTTGACAAAAATCTTTTTTTTTTATTGATCTTGTATTGCTGATCATTTTTCTGTTTATAATTTTTGCCCAAAACACCAAAAACGATAAAAAAATTATCATATAAGGCCATCACTCCTATAAAGAGTAAAATCTGATTTCAGCAAAATTTTACTTATTTGTAGACGTTGTCTTACTGATTAGTTTATTATTTAAAGTTTCCAACTATCTTTTATAGTTTTCAAGATAGTAAGAAAAAACGTAAAATATTGGGAAAATCGTCATTAAAGAGCAAGAACTCTTTTCCACTATTTGACTTACTTGTAGAACAAGTCTTGCTGATCATTTTTGCTTATCAAAGTTTCTTTCTATTTATTATTATTTTCAGATATCAGGCAAAAATGCATAAAATTGATAAAAATCATTATTAAAGGGCAATAACTCCAATAAGGAGTCATCTGACGATTCCGACCATGCAGACTGATCTTGCTAATCATTTTTGATAATAAAAGTTTCTCTCTATCTATTTAGGTTTTCCAGATATTAAGCAAAAATGGAAAATTTGGGTAAAATTCGTCATTTAAGGGCAATAACTCGTATAAGAAGTTGTCTGACAGTTTTGAAATAAATAGACAATAGGTAGATCTCATCATTTTAAACATTTCTGCCGCTTTCAGATTTTCTCCATTTACAGCAGTTTTCAAGATACTAGACCAAACCTGCCCATTTTACCCTTATGTTCTATTTTTAGCCATGCCAGCCATGTTGGTTGGCAGGCTGGGTCATCACACACATTTTTCAAACTAAATACCCTAATGATGATTGTGGCCAAGTATGGTTAAATTTGGAGAAGATTTTTTGTAACAAACGCCAAGTAACGAGAAAAGCTCACTTGGCCTTTTAAGCCAGGTGAGCTAAAGAAGTAGTTGTCTGGTCGACAGATTGGGAAAAGTGCACACTCAACACTGCCAAGCTGCTGACCAGGTGTTAGCAAGTTTTTTGAGCGTAATTTAAATCTTCATGGCTCTCTGGAAAACATTGTCCACACATTTCGATCAAGATGTCTTTTTTATAGGAAAGACTTACCGGTACATAGGTCAAATAAATGTACACAAAAATTTTTTTCTAAAGTAAAGATAAAATCAAATTTAGACCTCAATCAGCCATAAACAAAATTTTAATGGTCAATGCCATTAATTATTTCAACATGTTGATTCTGAATTTAAGTCGTATTATTACAGATTAATTTTTGACAAGAGAAATGGTATAATTTTGGCCCAAGTTTGCCTGTAAATCAGATATATTTTTAAATTTTTCCATCTTTAAAACTTACATATTGAATCAATCTACAGTCAAGATCAAATTTCTAATTTTTGTTTGAGCCTTTCTCTCTTACTTGTCATAAAACCATGAAATGAAAGTTATTACAAGGTATTTGCTAAATTGTCCAAAATCTTGACGTGCCACTCAAATATACTATGAAATCATACTGTACACAACCGTTGCCAAAAACAATATTTAAAGTTGTGACTATTTACCATGACAAAAAATACTTTCAAGCAAAGCTTGTACTTTATGTTATGTTTACCAAAAAGCTTCTGGATTTTTTGCCGATTTTTAGCTAAAACCATGCAAATGTGTTTACTTCATTTTACTGACATTACAGTCAAACTGGGTCATAAAGTCACAGCTTATGTTTGATTTTTAAAAAAGTTTTTCCAATAACATTTTGAAAATAAAATGTAACTTTAAGGTAGAATATAGTATAAATAAATGGGGAATGTGTCCATGGGACACAGATGATGCCCCCGCTTGCATATAACATTATAAAGGGACATAACTCAAGAAGGGTAAAAGTGACGCTACCCAAATGTGTACTTGATCTGAGTTTTGTGGTAATAAGCATTGTGTATAAGTTTCATATAACATTTGGTAGAGACAAACTAAAGTTAAAGAATGGAAACGAAAAATTCAGCAATTTTTCCATTTGTAATGGAGCATAACTCTAGAATGGTAAAAGTGACACCATCAAAATTCCAACTTGATCTGTGTTTTGTGGTAATAAGCATTGTGTACAAGTTTCATAACATTTGGTTGAGGCAAACTATGTTAGAGAATGGAAACCAATTTTGAAACGTAGTCAAAAATTAGTTATATCTGACACTTATTAGTTATATCTGACAATTTCCTCATAGTTTGTAAGAATAATACATGGAAGAAGCATTATTTTGAAATAGAGAAAGAAACAAGTTAAAAGAATTTGGAATAAAATGTAAAAAGCTCTTAAACTAGATGTGTCAGAACGACCACTTAGTGGCGGTGCCATAAAAATGCTTCCTGAAACAAATCAAAACAAGAAAGAGCTGTAAAGGCAGTTACCTACAGGTTTCTTTATTTTATAATCCAGATTGATTATAATCAAACATACTGTAAATTCAGAAATTATTGCGAAGTTTCTATTAATGCGGGCAACAACTCCTATCTGGATTCTGGATTATGACTATTCTTCCATGTTGACTTGTAGATTGCATTTCCAAAAAATATTTTTACTATCAAATGATTCTCTCTATATCAACTATAGTTTCCTATAATTAATGCAAAAAGGGCAAAAATCAAAAACTATAAGGGGTCATTATAATTAGATGATTTCTGCCTAGTTGACTTATTTGAAGATCTTCAATGCTCTGGTCATTTTTACTGTTTAAGATTTCTCTTTATCTGTAATAGTTTTCAAGATAATAACGCAAAACTGTGAAATTTGCAAAAAAATCAATTTCAGGGGCAATAACTCAAATAAATTGCTTCGTTGAGCACAGCTGGATACAACCGCAGATGTCCAACCCTAAAAAGTTGGGGCCAAAATGGACACAATATTCAAGCTTGATACAGGTCTGAATTTGGATTGTAATTAAATTTTTGACACATAATAGGTTTCTGACACAGAATAACTGTAGTCAAAGAACTTCAAATTGGTTATATGATTTGAATTTATATTCAATTTTTTGGTTTTGTGCAATACACTTTGCTGTTGCGAATTGATCCCCCCCCCCCAAAAAAAATAAAAAATTAAAATTTTACCCCGGTTTTTTGCTATACTGTTGAATATAATCCCCCAAAAAAATATTTGAAGAAATTTTCTTTTAATTTCTGAAATCTGAAATGAGAGAAATTGTCCCCCCTCCAATTATTTCACCTCCCCCTTTCCCTTATTCCAAAAAAAATTCTTTCCCTCAAGATATGGTCAGTATCTCAATTCAAATTTCTAATGGAGTTTGCAACCATAGTTACTCATTTAAATACATCATAAAAGTCTTAAAATATAAAATGACATACATAGTCATGGCTAAAATTAATATTAATTAATAGTAACTGCTAAAAATAAATTGATAGCTAATCACCTCAAGACAATCATCATTTCTTAATACATAATTTACAAGCAGTGTAAGGGAGGTAATCAAACATTGTTCTTTAAAATTGATTTGGATTACCTCCCTTACACTAATTTTAAATTGTCTCAATTGTCCTTTAACCAGAAAAACCCTTGTTTTTCCCCTTTTTTTGCCCATAATTCCTAAATGGTAAGAGCCATAACCCCCCAAAGTCAATCCTAACCATCCCTTTGTAGTATGGAAACTTGTGGTATAATTTCAGAGAGATTCATACACTTTAACACAAGTTATTGTCTGGAAAATACAAAAATGCTTATTTGGGCCCCTTTTTAGGCCCCTATTTCCTAAACAGTTGGGAACATAACCCCCAAAATCTATCCCAACCTTTCTTTAGTGGTTATAAACCTTGTGTTAAAATTTTATTGATTTCTATTCACTTATACTTATACTCAAGTTATTATCCGGAAATCATCTGTCTTCGGACGACGACAACGACGACGACGAGACATGATACCAATATACAACCGAAAAAATTTTAATGTTGATGGATCAAATCCCCCTAAAAATTTTTAAAACTAGATACCCTAGATGGACGGACACAAAATGATGGCAAAAGCTCGCATGGCCTTTTAGGCCAGGTGAGTTAAAAGTTATTTTTTTATATCTTAGAATCAATTTAAACATTTTCTATATCTACATAGATGCCAACCCCCTTTTGTTGTAATTAGTAAAAAAGTATTTAGATTTTCGTAATTTGTGATTTATTTCAGAAATAATTTTTTTTTTCATGGAATTTAATAATAATCATACTAAGTCATACTAACAACTTGGCACACACAGTGACATATACATGACTTCCTTTATCTATGACAAAAAATAACTAGGCACACACAGTGACATATACATAACTTCCTTTATCTATGACAACTAAAAACTTGGCACATACAGTGACATATACATGACTTCCTTTATTAATGACAACAACTTGGCACACACAGTGACATATACATGACTTCCTTTATCTATGACAACTAACAACTTGGCACACACAGTGACATGTACATGACTTCCTTTATCTATGACAACTAACAACTTGGCACACACAGTGACATATACATGACTTCCTTTATTAATGACAACAACTTGGCACACACAGTGACATATACATGACTTCCTTTATCTATGACAACTAACAACTTGGCACACACAGTGACATGTACATGACTTCTTTTATCTATGACAACTAACAACTTGGCACACACAGTGACATATACATGACTTCCTTTATTTATGACAACAACTTGGCACACACAGTGACATATACATGACTTCCTTTATCTATGACAACAAACAACTAGGCACACACAGTGACATATACATGACTTCCTTTATATATGACAACTAACAACATGGCACACACAGCGACATATAAATGACTTCCTTTATCTATGACAACTAACAACTTGGCACACACAGTGACATATAAATGACTTCCTTTATCTATGACAACTAACTACTAGGCACACACAGTGACATATACATGACTTCCTTTATATATTACAACTAACAACTTGGCACACAGTGACATATACATGACTTCCTTTATCTATGACAACTAACAACTTGGCTCACAGTGACATATACATGACTTCCTTTATTTATGACAACAACTTGGCAAACACAGTGACATATACATGACTTCCTTTATATATGACAACTAACAACTTGGCACACAGTTACATATACATGACTTCCTTTATTTATGACAACTAACAACTTGGCACACACAGTGACATATAAATGACTTCCTTTATTTATGACAACAACTTGGCACACACAGTGACATATACATGACTTCCTTTATTTATGACAACTAAGATTCAAACTTGATGAGCAAGTGAGGAACACTAACTATCACTCTGAATGGAAGTCTTGTTCACAATATTGCAAAAGGCAATTTCCGATTTTGTTGTTCAAGTTTTCTTTCCTTACTGCAGAAATTCACTGTTCCATTAGAAACCATAAAATTAAAAAACAAAGACTTCCTGTCTTCATTAATCATTTGGAATAGAACAGAAAATGGATAGATTGCTTTCTACTACAGATGGTCCAAAGAACCCTCCAAGAATTCAATAATCCGAAACACTCAAGCGCTTATTGTTACACAATTATAACAACGGATGGAGAGTCCTAAAGTTCAAAATGATATTTAAACAGGGAACTGTTCCAGAACCAGTAATGAAGTAAAATCTGTAACAAATAGACTGTTAATCGTAACACTGTAATTTTGGTCCAAAATTTGTAACAATTACGAAAAAATCCTAACGTTTGGCATCTATGTATCTAGAAAAAAATTAGAAAACGGTACTATAATCATATAATGTCTTCATATAAATAACAAAAACTGACAGGGCTTCTAACCTGCCACCAGTTGTAACGGACTGCATGAAAACATATACTTACATGACAGGTGGACACTGCTGAGGGGCTTCCAACCTGCCACCAGTTGTAACGGACTGCATGAAAACATATACTTACATGACAGGTGGACACTGCTGAGGGGCTTCCAACCTGCCACCAGTTGTAACGGACTGCATGAAAACATATACTTACATGACAGGTGGACACTGCTGAGAGGCTTCTAACCTGCCACCAGTTGTAACGGACTGCATGAAAACATATACTTACATGACAGGTGGACACTGCTGAGGGGCTTCCAACCTGCCACCAGTTGTAACGGACTGCATGAAAACATATACTTACATGACAGGTGGACACTGCTGAGGGCCTTCCAACCTGCCACCAGTTGTAACGGACTGCATGAAAACATATACTTACATGACAGGTGGACACTGCTGAGGGGCTTCTAACCTGCCACCAGTTGTAACGGACTGCATGAAAACATATACTTACATGACAGGTGGACACTGCTGAGGGGCTTCCAACCTGCCACCAGTTGTAACAGACTGCATGAAAACATATACTTACATGACAGGTGGACACTGCTGAGGGGCTTCCAACCTGCCACCAGTTGTAACAGACTGCATGAAAACATATACTTACATGACAGGTGGACATTGCTGAGGGGCTTCTAAACTGCCACCAGTTGTAACAGACTGCATGAAAACATATACTTACATGACAGGTGGACACTGCTGAGGGGCTTCCAACCTGCCACCAGTTGTATTGGACTGCATGAAAACATATACTTACATGACAGGTGGACACTGCTGAGGGCCTTCCAACCTGCCACCAGTTGTAACGGACTGCATGAAAACATATACTTACATGACAGGTGGACACTGCTGAGGGGCTTCCAACCTGCCACCAGTTGTAACGGACTGCATGAAAACATATACTTACATGACAGGTGGACACTGCTGAGGGGCTTCCAACCTGCCACCAGTTGTAACATATTGCATGACATCATGGTTTGTCCTTCCTGGATAAGGCATATAACCCATGGAAAATATTTCCCACAACAAAATTCCAAATGACCTGAAAATATTACATTCCAATTAAATCACAAGAACTACAGCGCCATAATTAATTTACAATTAAACAAGCTGCTTTACTATTCAGATGATAACTGATTGTTGATTAGATCTTTTGGGTTGAACATCGCGTGGCAAAATAGTTACATCCATATTTAGGAGAAAAACAAATAATTTATAAATATTAAAATAATTAGGTTTACAACTGACTTATTTATTGAAGCCAATATAACAAGTTGTAAAGAGTATAATGATTCTTGTCTATTTGTGACAACACTGTACATTTGACCTTTAATTGCTTATATCCACTTATTTGAACTCTGGTGGATAGTTGTCTCATTGACAATCATACCACATGTCCTTATTTTTATACAATTTCAAAATGAGAAATGCAATTATTTGTTGAAACTTTCATTAAAATTGATTTGATTTTAACATATGGTGATTACTTTTTATAAATGAAATGTCTGATTGAAAAATTTAGCTTTATATAGAGAGTTCCTGGATAATCTAGTTTTATAAAAGAATACAGAGCTAGTCAATGCAATTTTGTAATTAAGTAAGAAAATGAGTGCAATGACCTAAGATTTTTACTTTCTAAATCCTCTTAAAGTATTCTTGCTAAAAATGTGATGGTCACTTACTTTCATTTCATATAAATTTTCAAAAACACAGCATTCAATTCTTATATCAATAGATTTTGGAAATAAGAAAATAGATGTTATTTACATTTTTAATCTGAAAGTAAAATTAAAAAAAAAATTCAGCAGAAATTGTCTTCTGAGATAAAAGCAGTATCATTCCATGTGAAATCAATTACTTGTATAATAAGTCATATAGCTGAAACTGGCCATGGTATATGAAGATGTCTATGTAGATTATAGCTTGTAAAATATTTAGTAAAATTTCAATCAATATTGTACATGAATAGCATAGGATAATAATTTATTGTTATATCACTATATATATAGTATTTGAGCAGGTTCCTTTGCTAGAAGTTGATTACATTACATAAATATATATAAATAAATGGAGCATGTGTCCATGAGACACAGATGCTATCCCTGCTTGCATATAAAGTTGTAAAGGGACATAACTAGAGAACTGTAACAGTGACGCCACCCAAATTCAAACTTGATCTGTGTTTTATGGTAAAAAGCATTGTGTATAAGTTTCATAATATTTGGTTGAGGCAAACTAAAGTTAGAGTATGGAAACGAAAAAATTCAGCAATTTTCCATTTATAAAGGGATATAACTTTAGAAAGGTACTAGTGACGCCACCCAAATTTGAACTTGATCTGTTTTTTCTGGTAATAAACGTTGTGTATAAGTTTCATAACATTTGGTTGAGGCAAACTAAAGTAAGGGAACAGAAACTTATTTTGGGACTTATGTTCTTACGGACAAGGGTAACACTTAATGCCCCCCCCCTCAGCCGCGGTGGGGGAATACAAATGATAATATGCTAGTACAGTAGGTTTATGTAAAACTCCCACACTAAGTCATTGATAAAAGGACAAAACCTTGATATTAAATGGTAATCTAAAAACTTTACACATCAATGAGTTTAACAATGACTATATATGTTGCAAACTTCTCATTTATTGTAGAATAAAATAAATGATTAACAAAAGAGACATTAACAGCATCAATAGATACGTTATTGTACTTTGATTCTCATGAGGTCAACTAGAAAAAACTTATTTGCTTCAAGACACAATGTGACCATTATCTTTTAAATGACGGAGATGTGACAATTTTCTTTAAAATGACGGCAATCTGACAATTATCTTTTAAATGACTGCTTGGTGTTTTCCACAGACAATTTCTGAAGACTTGTAGTGATATCTTTTGATAAATATGTGGTAAAACTATATATTGTAGTTTGAACATGAATTCTTCCTACAAAAACTTAGATTTGCTTTAACCAATTCCCACAAAACTAAAACAGAACATTAGGATTCGTAGACAAAAACTTCCTTTTGATTTCAAAATAATAATGTGTTGTCATTCAAGAAATCCCGTTTGGTTTTGAAAATCTAAGATTTGTCATTCCACAATTATGAGACTTATAATAATATTCTACATGGCATACTCTAGATCTAGAATGTTTTATTTGGATTAACTATAAACTTTACACTGTTGTTTGTATTAGTGAATCAAGACTCATTTTGGATTTGAAATTTTTTTGGTTTGTCGTTCCATACGGTTATCTCACTTTTAGCAGTCAATTTTGACGTAATATTTATTTGTATATGGATATCCTCATTCATGTTTTCTTATACAGCAACGTTACCAAGTTGTTATTAGAAGCTTAAATGGATTTCAGATCTTCTCACAATAATTCTAATGCACAATTTGGTGGTATCATGGGGTCTTGACGTAGCTGTTTTTTGTTATATATCATTTTCTTCCATAACATGGAATACAAAATTCTTAAGATTACTGGTTATATGTGTTTTAAGTGTTGGTGTGTATGCATATTTAGTCAGATGAGCACTCATAAACTTGTTAATCTTTGTCCCTCTTCTAACTTATCAACACAAATTGACCTGACATTATATATATAGAAAGGTAAACCAATAAAGGCAAAATTATTCATTGATCGGGTATCAGATTGGATCTTGAATACCCATACTGTAACTATGTCCGTATTTAAGATCTTCTCCTGTCTAGGACCCCATGAACACCCATATTAATTATGTCTGTATTTAATATCTTCACCTTTCTAGGACATGATCCCATGAATACCCATACTGTAATTATGTCAGTATTTAAGATCTTCTCCTGTCTAGAACTCCATGAATACCCATATTAATTATGTCTGTATTTAATATCTTCACCTTTCTTGGACATGTTCCCATGAATACCCATACTGTAATCATGTCAGTATTTAAGATCTTCTCCTGTCTAGGACATGTTCCCATGAATACCCATACTGTAATTATGTCCGTATTTAATATCTTCTCCTGTCTAGGACATGTTCCCATGAATACCCATACTGTAATTATGTCCGTGAATACCCATACTGTAGTTATGTCCGTATTTAATATCTTTGTCTAGGACATGTTCCCATGAATACCAATACTGTAATTATCTCCTGTCTAGGACATGTTCCCATGAATACCCATACTGTAGTTATGTCCGTATTTAATATCTTTGTCTAGGACATGTTCCCATGAATACCCATACTGTAATTATGTCCGTATTTAATATCTTCTCCTGTCTAGGACATGTTCCCATGAATACCCATACTGTAATTATGTCTGTATTTAATATCTTCTCCTGTCTAGGACATGTTCCCATGAATACCCATACTGTAATTATGTCCGTATTTAATATCTTTGTCTAGGACATGTTCCCATGAATACCCATACTGTAATTATGTCCGTATTTAATATCTTCTCCTGTCTAGGACATGTTCCCATGAATACCCATACTGTAATTATGTCCGTATTTAATATCTTTGTCTAGGACATGTTCCCATGAATACCCATACTGTAATTATGTCCGTATTTAATATCTTCTCCTGTCTAGGACATGTTCCCATGAATACCCATACTGTAATTATGTCTGTATTTAATATCTTCTCCTTTCTAGGACATGTTCCCATGAATACCCATACTGTAATTATGTCCGTATTTAATATCTTCTCCTGTCTAGGACATGTTCCCATGAATACCCATACTGTAATTATGTCCGTATTTAATATCTTTGTCTAGGACATGTTCCCATGAATACCCATACTGTAATTATGTCCGGATTTAATATCTTCTCCTGTCTAGGATATGTTCCCATGAATACCCATACTGTAATTATGTCCGTATTTAATATCTTCTCCTGTCTAGGACATGTTCCCATGAATACCCATACTGTAATTATGTCCGTATGTAATATCTTCTCCTGTCTAGGACATGTTCCCAATTCTACATCTCATTTTAGACAATACAACATTTATATCATCACCTGGCAAACAATGAGAACCAATATGTATTACATAATAATTTCAAGATGGCGTGAATATCGAATGAAACTAATAGCTTCCCACTGTGATGCGAAGCAAAAATGTAAGAAGGGGATATTATGTGGAGCCATCGAGTAAATAAGTAAATTGAGATGCAATTTTAGAAGTTATCAGGGTTATTCCATTTAAATATAGCTTATACCCATGGAAGACAGAACACTAATGGATGTACCACTAATTCTTCCTAAAATGATTGTAGCAAAAACAACTTTTACTCCTACAAAAATGTTGATTCTTATTTTTGCAATTATTCAAGTTGTTGATCGAGTTAAAACTTTCTTCAAAACTGTCAGTACTCCATACAGAAATAAAGGCAGTTTTAATGCAACACAAATAAAAGAGTGATATTTATACAAGTCCCCATTCCTGTGATATTTGCTACATCCTCATTTCTGACTTAACTATTAATCTATGTTATTAAGATTTTGTTGAGAATAACCCATCATTGAACAGGATCTAATGAGAAATAAAGGCAAAAGGAGACACGATACCAATGAAGCATTTGGAAACCATTGGTTCAATAGGTGCCTTGTAGGCAGCAACCTTCTATCAAGGAAATCATAATGGGAAACACACAGAATATTGTATAGACTGAGAGATATATATTCTCCAAATGCAAGTGACAACAAATTGTAAACAGACAGGCATTTAATCCTTTTTAACTTGTAATGTTGGGTATCATAGATAAAAAAAAATCAGTTAATTCATCGTTGTATAAACCTTTTTATTCTATTATCTATAAACCATAATAAAATTGTGCGGGTTAAAACTACAATTTAGAAATATATTCGTTCTTTAATCTTACTATATAAAATTCAAAACTAATTCAATAGAGAAGAAAAGGAAATGCCTCTGAGCTAAACTGATTTGAGGCTTAATCAAAATTTACAACTGCCTTATATTGTTTGCATTTAATACCATTAATCTGCATTTTTGGTATCAAATTAGATAAATAAATTCAAACTGGCAAGATTTTAC